TTCAAATGAAACAATGTATAATAAAATCAGCTTTACCATAGGCTAATTGATATAAGCAAGTTAAGTTCCTGTGGCATATTTCTGGCCAAAAAAAATCACTAAACTTCTAAATAAAGACCCAAAACACTTCTAACATTAATCATTTAAATAAATGGAAGCTATAGATACACTTAAAAAGATAAATACAAAGAAGCAATCAAATTCATTTTCAACTCTCTTTCTTATTCCAACTTTAGGTCAAGGTGGCTACCTCAGCACCTCAGGGTCCAATGTGGGAATGCCATTCCATCAGAGTTTGCACACTCACACACACACACACACTCATTATATTGGAACAATTTAGACATGTCAATTCACTTACCATGCATATATCTGGGATGTGGAAGGAAACTGGAGTACCCAGAAAAAACTGGAAAAAACCTGCAAACTCCACACAGACAGTGTCTCCAGACAGGAAGTGATTTTTTTCTATTAACATATAATGAAACAACATTTAATGAAACAATATTCTAGGACTCACTGTTTTAACCTTGTGTCCTGTGATTTTGTGATAATTACTTATTACAAAGTAATTATCATTAGTTACATGATAATTTTGTTGATTCTTTGGAATTATCTACAGACAAAGACAGTTTATATTTTCTTCTCTAATCTGTATGATTTTTATTTTATTTTCTTGCCTTTTTGCACTAGCTAAGACAGCAAAAATGAACATCCTTGCTTTGTTCCAGTCTTAGAGGGAAAACATTCAATTGCTCACAATCCCCTCTCTGTTTGCTACCTTGCACCTTGATGTTTTAGTTTTTCTCTGTTTCCTTGGTCAAAATTCACCATCTCTTCTAGGGCTTGTTGTGATTAAAAAAAAGACAGTGGGAATCAGAGAAACATTCATTTAAATCAGGATTTGGATTTTGGTGAAGTTGATTTAAATCCTTTCCATTTGTTTTCTCATTCTAAATGAGAAAAATATCGCCTATGCCAGTGAGTTGTTGTAATGATTATGTGGGGAAATGTGTGAAGAAACTCCTTAACACTTGAACACCTAACTTTCATTTAGGGCATATGCTAAATACTCAGAATACAACTGTGAATAACACATAGGACTAGCTCTCTGAAAGTTGTAGTAGAAAAAATTAACTAACAAAATAGAATATTTTAATATATAATCATATGTCCTAAGAGAAATATGAGTTTATAGAGTAGCTTTAATAATTAGAAGCTATGATCATTATTATTATTCCTTTCAAGTTTATTTACTCCTCCTGAGTTATCAAACAGAGCTAATGACATTCCCTAGCTCTTTTACTACATATCTTCTTTTGTTTACATCAAAGAAAATTAATACAATTCTTCACTTGATGACCTCTCTAGTTTCTGCATTGTCCTCATTTTTTTCTTTTTACATATATATCTCAAAAATTTTTACACCTTAGGTATATAATACCTACATTTTTTTTGTTTGGTAATATTTATATTTTGGTTCTCACATGCAGTGTAGAGAGGATTTCAAATAAAATAAAATATTTGAGAGGGCATGGTGGTTAGAATTATATTTTTATATTGAGCAAGTTAAAAAATAAGCTTTTTAATAAGATTAATTCTGATTATCTAAGTATGCAGCACATCATTATATAGTCTGAAAATTATTTGGGACTCCATCCTTTACATTTTGTAACAAATAGGAAGATTAAATAAATATATTTTATATATGTGAGTTTATATGAACACCCATCTTAATTTTGTGTTTTAAATAATGAAATAATTGATACCATAGTTTTCCAAAATAAAGTTCTTTGTTACTAGGCAGCAGTATTATGATGCTCAAGAAAGATATGTTAACGAAATATAACTTCAGGTCAGCTTTCTAATATTCTCTGACTTATGACGTGAAGAGCTGAAACAGTTTGTTAGCATTGTGGGTTTTGTTTTTGGTGGGGCAGGAGATGAAGGAAGGAAACACCAAATATGGAGAGGCAGAAAGGGGATAGAGATCATAACTAACACGAATATAATTGGGGAGACTGTGAGCAAGGTGCCACCCTGAGAACAGTTACTTGCCTTTTCATTCATCTTGCTGCCTGCAGTAAAGAATTTAATATTTTGGCTTTAAAACAAAAAATAATTTGTCTTGCCCATCACTCTTACCTCTCTTAATAGTAAGCTAATAAAGCAACAGCATACAGAGGTAATCGACGGGGTTTGCATGTGTATGTGTGTGCGCCCGTGTTACTAAAAAATATTAAAATAAGTGCTGCTTCTGAGATTTTCAGAAGTTTCTGCTGACTCTTTAATCTCTCCAAGCTCCTGTCTGAATCAGTAATTTTGTATTGGATTTGGAATATGTTCTTAATATTCTCCACCCAATATTGAAAGGCAGTCTTTTAGAGAATGAATAAAGGCATTGCAGGGACCTTTGACAACTCAGCATGCTTGTTTCTTTGAAGAAAAGCAGTGTTTCAGCTCATATTTGTCTACTTGATAAAATTTAACCACCAGGTTGCCCTTTTGACTAATGATTGCTATGAAAGATATACCAGGAAATTTAGGTGATTGTATTTGCTAATTAAAACGCATTTGCTTTGACAGATTGAAATCTTTATTTTAAGGTAGTTTATGGGAGCTGTTTGAGCTAAGTTCACCATTGGTTTTAATTCTGTTTTAAGGGATCCAGTACTTATTTCACACAGAAAAGGAATTAAGAAAATAGCTCTGCCCTCCAAGAATGTTAGTTTAGTTTGATAGGCACTATTGTGAAAGCAGTTTGCTTCTCTGTTTTAAAAGAATAAAGATAGTCAGTTAGTTCTTCAAACCCTGAGTCTGAGTCTTTTAGTATTTGAGCTACTCTGTGAAGTAAATATTGGGACATGATGTAGAAAATCTTCTGTAGATATTTATGGGACTATTAAATAAAAAATTCTGTCTAGAATTGTAGATTATGCATGTGTTAGTTCATTAAGTTTCTACTATATGCTAAGGTTCTTCACAAATATTAATCCTCAAAACAAAACTGTTACTGTATATTAGTTATCATGATTTTACAGATTTGGAAACGAAGACTCAGAGGGCTTAATTAATTTGCTAAACACTTTAAATTGTAAATATTTGAGTCATTAATAGAGCCTATGACTTTAATTCCAATGTGCTTGTATTGTACAAGTTTTCTTTAATCTTTTAATGAAAATAATAAAAGATTAATTAATTTAACAGATTGCTTTTGTTTAGCCAATAAAAGGACACTTCCAAAAACATTTAGTTTATTTTAAACTAGACTTTCCATATTTATAATGCATATGTTCAACTTTTTTTTTGCTTTTGTGCATGCAGGTATGTTTATATTTATAAATTTTGCAATATAAATTTTAAAACAATCCATCTTTTCATACTTGTGATATCACCAATGGAAAGTAATGTTAACAGTCTGTTTATGAATTTAAAAATAGAGCTTTGGAGTTCTTTAATATAGCATTAATAATTATTAATACTAATATTAATAATATAGCATTAAGTATGATGTTTTATGTTTTAAGATGCTTTGCATAAATTGTAATACATACATAAACTTATTCATATAAATGTAAGTTTAATTGTTGGTTTGAAAACATGATTAGATGACTGGTTAAAAGAATACACTATGAATACTTTTAAAATAGACCAAATTACTTAGCACACAATCAAAAATAAGAAATGTATATTATTAAATGCTATTCACTGACACCATTTTCTTTTTAATATGCACCCATCTCCAACTAATAAGACTTATTTTTACTTAAAAATAAATAACAATAAACCTTAATTTTTTGTATGGCAATCTTGTTCTTCAGGTATTGTTTTGTTTTTATTTATTAAATCTAAATGTTTGGTTACAATTAATTTAGTGTATAACTTTGCCAAATTGATGAAGTTCATGCTGTCTCAAAATATTTAAATAGAGCCACTGGAGGCACACATTTTTTCAAATTTTCTCTTGGTTCTTTTCAAATGATATTATATTTGTTCCACACATTCCCTCCAAAATCATGGAATAAAAGAGAAAATTCATGTATAAGAAAGAGAGCAGCATTTAGATATAGAAATAGATAATGTAGGCATAGAAATGCAAATTAGGCATTTGTAAAATGCAGGAACCAGGTAACAAATATCTATGGCAGGTACAAGGTGAGCACGGTGGTGCCTCAAATCTTTATGGGTAGGAAAATATTCAAGAAGATGAGAAAGTTATAAGTAAATGGAGAAAGCTGCAAATAAAAGCTTTTAACCTTTCTGCATGGCTCCAGAATATGCATTATAGAGAGATAAGTACCCTAAAACAGAGTATTATTAATTTAATATTGGAGATTAAAGGATGGCTCCTTTTTTTTTTTAATTTTCATATACCAGTGATTGAATTATTGTTTCCAATATGGAAGGGAAATGAACTTGTTTTGAAAATTGATAATTCCATTATCATTATCATTATAAATTAGGTGTAAAAAAATTTAAAGAAAAAAAAGGAAAGCAATCATTTTGAACCTGGTTTATTTGCACTTGCAATCCCAGAAATACACATGAATTACTTATGTGCTGGGACATGGCAGCCTTCTGGCTCTGCTATCAAATCTCTGCAAACAATGTGACTTGGAGTGATAGAGATAAGAATTTAGTTGAAAGATAATATTTACCATTGACATTGAGTTACTTTGATGTAACCAAAACCTTGTCATTTCTTAGACAACAAGAATACGTAATGTGAAAATGAGAAGAGATTTAAAAGTTGATTCCAAAATATGTCCCAAAAAATTATTGAAAATAATTAATTTTTACAAATTCAGCTGTTTAATAACAGTACAGTCCTTTTATCTTGTCAAATAAATTATTAATGTTTAATTTTAAAATTACAAAACACTCCATTTATTGCAAGAGTCTCTATATATTTAAGGGTAAAAACAAAAGTTAGAGGAGGGATATGTTGTGCAAATACAGTTTTATAAAAAGCTAACCACTTTTAAAATCCTGTCTTTCAGGAAAGAACGGTGACCATTAGAAGACAAACTGTAGGAGGATTTGGATTAAGCATAAAGGTAGCCCATCTTTCCAGTCTATCCTTACAAAGGACATACTATCCTGCTGAATTTTTTGTGTATTTTAGTTTTTGGAAGATTAATAATTAGGCAAGCATGACTATAACAAACTCCTCAGTACCTGGACTGAGATGTAAGCTAAGTAGTTTCTCGTAGAAACTTGGCCACATTTTGATTTAGAAATTTTACAGAAGTATTTGGAAATTTTATCTCACTTGGCATTGAATAATACTAATTAATTACCTTTTGTATCTGTTTTCATCTAAACTAACAAATATGATGTTTTAGTGTGCATATCATCTTTTAATCAACCAGAGTAGAAAATATTGACCTGTCGATGAATGTGGCCAGAACAAGTTCTATGCTAATGAGGTCTTATATAAGTTAAGTATTAATTGTATTCTATTCATCATTTTCTTTTCAGTGTTCATTTTTATTTAAAAAATAGTAAAATCTCATGTTACTATCCAAATATATATATATCCAAATATATAGGATAAAGTTTAGCATTTGGTTATTATAAAAATTACCATCTTTTTTATTGCCATTTATTCATTTTTTCTCAAAATTTATTTTAATTGCTCACTTTTTATTGTATTTTTCCATTACCACTTATTGCCCTTATACCCTCTTCCACCTCCACCCACCTCCCTTCCCCTTGAATCATGACACTGATGGGCTTTTCTTTCTGTATATTGTTGGCTGTTAAAGATGTACCACACCTGCAGTTTATCATCACTGAAGCCAAACAGAACTTTTAAAATGATGGGAAATTATATAAATACTGGAAAAGTTAACTTAAGGACTTTAAAATACCTTTTAGAAGCCTACATCTCTAAATAGATAAATGAAATTTAAATTTCTCTTGATTGTTGGGCTAGGCATTTTGCTTACATAAGGTGAAAATCATACATCTGAAGTAAATATTTCATGAAATGATAACACAGCTCAAGTTACAGATGCTTGAAAATTGGAACTCATGGTTTAGTGAATACAGCTCTAGTTGACATTATGAAAATGGCTCAGAAAATTGATCAATGTAGAATAGTATTGTGTAGACATATAATAAAAATATTACCATATAAAATGTTAATTTTAATATGTACTTGTATTTTATCTGTCATCAACTAAGACCAGGGAGACACACCAAACAAATTATAAGATTTAAGTATGGAAATGATGTTGTGGCAATTCCAATGTTTAATAGATAGGTTTTAGTTTATTTCTTTGTTTTTGTTTTGTACAATACTTATTGAGAATGCTGTCAAGGATTTAAAGGTATGACTAAGAAATAAAGTCCATGAAGAGAGCAAAAACACTTGAGTGTGAATAAAGTTCAATAGTTAGAATAGCATTCATTTCAGAGATGTGTTTTTATCTACCTGCACTGACTCTATTTCTGAGAGGGCAGCTAAAAATGTTATTTTCTTTTTTTAATTTCAATTTATAAGTTAAACCTAACAATGTGTTTTTATTTATTTTTACTAAAATACCAAATTTTATAACCTAGACACTTTTAAAAAATCAAAATTTTTGCCAAATGAATAATTTCACCTTAATGAGTTCATTATTTCAAATCAAGTAAAATTTTTAGACACATAAGAAATACAATAATTTTCCAAAATCCATGTGCTTTCAAAATACTGGCCATAAAAGAAGTATGTGAACTGTGATTGTTGCCATATTCTGGGAGGTTTAACAAAAAAGGAAATTATTTTTTTTAATTCTTATGTCACACAAACAGAAATATAAACAATAGATTTAGTTAGAATAAATCTAATAGATTTATTAGAGCTTTCCATTTTGATTTTCTCAGTACCACTGATCTTTGCTTTTCTATCTATCTTTTTTTAATTTTATTTTAATCCTCACCTGAGGATATGTTCATTGACCTCAGAGAGAGAGGAAGGAGGAGAGAGAGAGAGAAAGAAATAGTAATGTGAGTCCTGGTTGGCATGGGTCAGTTGGTTGGGCATCACCCTGTAAACCAATAGGTAACCAGTTCGATTCCTGGTCAGAACACATGCCTGCATTGTGAGCTCTGTGCTGTGTCCCTGTCAAGGTACTTGCAGAAAGCAACAAACTGATATTTCTCTGTTTCTCTCCCTCTTTTTTTCACTTCCTTCCTCTCTCTCTCAAATAAAATAAAATATTTTTAAATAAAAGAAATATCTATGTGAGAGAAACATTAATGGGTTGCCTCTTGCATGTGCCCCAGCTGGGGACCAAACCGATAACCCAGACATGCCCTGACCAAAAATCAAACACACAACCTTTGAGTCTACAACACAATGCTCCAAACAACTTAGCCATGTTCTATTTTTTAAACTCTTATTCTGTTACTGTATTCCTTTATTTTAAACTACCTTTTATTCTGTTGTATTTTAAAATATGATTATTTCCTTATTTAAAATAGCAATGTTATTGAACAAATCCTTTTTCCCTTTGTCCTGTCACATGTAATTGGAAAAAATACTGGGTTTATCTATCTGCTCTATTTTCTTTAGACCTGAGAATTTAAAATATACATGTTATATACTTTAATAGTATACTGTATATTAGAATTGAATGTTATTATAGAACTTTACATAATATAATATTTTATATTATAAACTATATATATGCAGTGGACAGATTAAGAAATTATTTTAATGCAGAATTAATATTTTAGTGTTGGTCATTTATCTCTTTATTGCTCAAGAATTTCAGTTAGCCATTTCTATGCACATGAAGACATAAACATACATTTTATCCTTACTTGTTTCATTTACGTAATCACTGCTGACACACACTGGAGGTTTTGTAGTGAGGATTATTAATTAAAACCTCAAATATCTCAACTAGATATAACAGAAGAAAGAGTGTATGCTAGACAACAGAAAGGCTTTTACCAATACAGTTAAGGCTCTGACGGGTGCTCCTGAATTTTACTGTACTCAGAACATGTGATACTGTTATTTCAGGTTCCCCTTCCCAGAAGCTCTTTTATAGAACTTGGCTAAGAGACAATAAAATGTCCTTTTTGGTCAGAAAGCACTGAAATACTTTAAAATGAGCTGTTGAAAGGCAAAGCTAGTTGGCTTTGCTGCATTCTCCTGACAAATCTTGACTTCTGGGAGCTTCCTTGTGACTTTTGCCATTGCACATGGCAGGAATTCTTCAGGTGTCCCAGCTGACAGTCAAGAAAACTTTTTATACAACATCTATTCTAATGCTTTCTTTACTAACATTCCTCAGTGGTTATAGTTTGGGGTAGCACGATGTCCCTGACGCTATCAATGTCCATTAGGCCTAATGTCACCTGTCCATGAACATTATTTTCGCTGCCAAACACTGTCTCCAGCCAGAGATTCCCTGAGATTGGGTGTGAAATAAAGTAAGCCTTTACCTTTTACCTTTTCTTATTTTATCTAATTGATTAGACAGTTTTGAAACTTCTGGGATAAAAATTGTGTAGGTACCTCAGAGGTTGACATAGTTATATGTTTCTGCAGTTTAATTCTAGGTCTTCTATTTGACATCTTCCCTTGAAGGCCAAATGCCAAATGGGACAGTGCACATTGAGGAGGGTACCCATTTCAAAATTTCCTAAAATCCCAAATAATAAGGGGAAACAATAAATTTAATAAAAATGAAAAGTAATTATTGACTTAAATTGTAACAATATAAGTAAGTTTTAATTCACTTTCTTTTCAAATTTTGTCTACTTTCCTTTCTGCTATTATTTTTTTAACCTTAAGTTGTTTAGTTTGCATTATGAGAACTTTTAACAAAATCTGAGACTCTTTTGTGAAAATCATAATTATTATAATTTTTAAAATTATGTCCAAATATCTAAATTTGCAACAGTCATCCAAGGATTTTTAAATCAAATATATTGAGATTTAATATAGAAATCTCATTCATCTTCATAGGCAAACTTATCGTATAGATTCCTGAAATGCCATCATTTTATAAAGACTATTTGACTATGAAAAAGTAGAACGCAAAATCACCTATATATCCATGTTGTTTCCAAATTAAGGAAAAAAAAACCCCACGAAACATAGAGCCAAGGACCAATGAGCGCAGAGCAGACTTGCACTGGAGCTGCAGGTGGGAAAGCAGATGTCTTGAAGAGGAGGTGCCACACGCAAAGCTGACATTCTTGCTCCCACCTTTCCATTCTGTTACGACGCACTATTTGTCTTCAGCTTGTAAAACTGAAAGAAATTATTTTTAAACCCTGAAGAGTGTGCCCTCGATCATAGCTTTCTGGTCCCATGTTATAGTTATTCCCTTCTAGAAGGAACAAAAGCATAACTGAACAATGGTACAAAGAAATGGGCGTGGCATACAGGCACCGAAAACCTGGCCCGGCCCCCTGCTGTGTTTGAGTGACCTTTCATCCACAAGCCCCTACCCTATAACCTCAAAGAGGAGAGAAGTGCTTGTCAGGTTCTGGTCAGAAACTTAGTCATGAACCAAGTCTAGTGCTTTTTGCACTGTGCTCACTCCTGCTCTCAGTCATCCAGGAAGCCTTGTTCATTTTAAGCTGTTTTTTTTTTTAATTAATTTATTTACTTTTTAAATACATTTGTCTCTGCCTCCCCCCCCCCCCCCCCCCCCCCCCACTCTCCCCCAATCCTTGCTATATGTTCCTTGACTTTCCCCTTCCCTTCCCTTCCCTCCCCCCTTCCCTCTTTCCTATTTCTTTTCCTTTCAGTGTTGCTGGTCATATTTGCCTTCTTCTTTCATTGTTGTAGTTCCGCTTATAGGTAGATCATATGTATTGTCTTCCCCTCTTATTTGAGATGATGCTCTCCTTCCATCCTCTTGCAAGTTTAGTACTTCTTTTTTTCTTTCTTAAGCTGTTTTAAATTTTGTGTTGCTTTCAGAGCCATTCTCTTATTTGCTATAACTTTGTATTTTCCTTGATTTAAACATTCTTCAGGAGTCACAAGCTTGTGTGTATGTTTCTTGTTCGTTTTTGAGGGGTTTGTTTTTTGTTTTTTGCTCCT